TAAAACCCATAATTTTGTCCGTATTTTGGAAAAGGCGGGGGGGGGGGGGGGGGGGGCGAGGGAGTAATTGCCGGAAAAATTAATTTGTGCCAAGATAGTTTAGATCATTCTCCTCCAGCAACTTCCGTGAAGTGTTTCAAGCTATGATAGCGGGATTTTGTAACATGACATAACCAAATGATTATCTCAACATCAGTACAGGATGACTGGGAAAGGCACGCAGGGAAACTAGAAGGGAATATTATGCAATGTATATGGCTGGTAGCTGCCTCACTACATCCACTTACACATACAGACTAATTTTTATCTTATGTGAATGTTTTGTCTCTTTCACCCCATGTGTGTGTTTGCAACTTCCTGTATACAAACAGTAAGCGTGGGCGTGTACCATGAAAGAAGCTCAGGGGTGGTGTCTGAATCAGACTGCCCATTGTTTAATGCAAGAAAAGACAGACAGACATACACCTCACCCTCCTTCAACATTGTTATTTAATTATAGGCCTACCATTGTGGACCTCATACAGAGGTAAGAATATGAAGGCACAAGCTCTGAACAGTGAGGGAAGCAGACAAACCAATATATAAATTTTCTGTGCAGGGCATAGCTATTGCAGGCCAAATATTCTCCTGGTTTTTCATCTACAGGTCAATTCATTTTTTTCATGAAACCTTTCCATTTTTATTACATACCTTATTTTAGACCCAGTTATGTCATCATACTGTTATTTTATATCAATCCTTATTTGTTCATTGAAATTCCTTTTTTTTTAAATTTAATATTAATCCTCATTTCTTATTTTATATTAGATTTTGTTATTTCATATTAATCCTCATTTTTGTTATTTAATGTTAATCCTTATTGCTCATTTTATTTAAATTTTTGTTATTCCATATTAATCCTTATTTATTTACAGTAGTTCATATTGACCTTTATTTTTTTTCATATTAATCCATATTATTTTTTATTGCTGGTTAATTCTTATTTCATATTAATCCTTATTTTTAATTTCTCAGTAATCCTTATTTTTACATTAACCCTTATTTCATATTAATCCTTATTTTTTAATTTTATATAAACCCTTTTTTTTTAAATTTCATATTAATCCTTATTTTATATTATTTTTTCTATTTCATATTAATCCCTATGTCTTACTTTATATTAATCGTCATTCATGTTATAATAATCCTTACTTGTGAATCTTTAAACAGTATTTCAAAATGTTTTAGATAAATCATTAATTATATTCATGGTTTTATATTGATGATTTCTGGACTTTTATACGTGGCGTGGCGCTTCAATACCTTATCTTTGTGACCCAACACATTGACCATCCAGTTGACTCCAATACAAAAAACAAAACATAAAAGGCGGGAATTTATCAAAACTGGAGCAGACTATTTTTGGAGCAGATTTGCACTGCAGCCAATCAGCTTCTCTCTCTCATTTTCAACTCTTACCTGAGCAAACTGAAGAGAGATGCTGATTGGTTACCATGGGCAACTGCTCCAAATTCTGTCTGCTCCAGTGTTGATAAATTCCCCCCATAATCTTTTTAAATACGCATCAAGCAATCCAACGCTCGTTAATACCTGAAGAATTATTGACCAATAAGAACCTGAGCGAGGTACTAACACTTATTTGCGCTACAGAAACCCCCAATTTTTAAAAAATGTTTTGGCTAAAGATAAACCTTAAAAAAGTTCAAATTCATAATTTTAGGCATTTTCACGTATTCAGAAGGACTTAGATGCAGCCTGCATATGTTGTAGGTACAGGTTTATATATTCTAAAGGCAAAGTAAACCTGACTTGCCCTAAAAATATAAATACATAAAAATAATTTTTAAAATGAAACCCCCCCTCAATAATAAAAAGAACAAAATAAAACATATACACACACATATATATACATATATATATATATATTATTTTTTTAATTTTAGATTATATTTATATAAATTTTATATATTATAT